AAGCAATCTTGTGCTCTCCTTCATCCAAGCCATCAATAACAAGAAAATGTTTGGTATTTTCGTTCAATTGCTGCAATGGCGTGGTAAATAAGAAATCGAACAGTGCGTTAGGATCATTTGGAAATTGATCAGTCTGTAGTTTCTCAATCAAGGCAGCATATTCGGGAAGACTCTTCGAGAGCATAGTACTGAGACTATGGACTAACGATTTCAAATTGCAGGTGCGAGGATTATCTTTTTGACAGTAATAGTATCCAGCCAATTTTTGTCCCTCGTGCCGACGGACAAACTCTTGTGCGAACGAACTTTTGCCTGTTCCAGCACCACCCCAGATAAGGAAGGTACGAGACTCCCGAGGCCCGAGGTCTTTTTCAAACCATTTTTCAACTTTACAGAACAACCACTCACGACCGACAAATTCTTCCTTCATCCGATCAGAGACCGGGTTGAACTTTAGCTCCTCCATGTCGCGAGATAATTGCTGTGACTCTGATATAGCTTCTAGCTTTTCCAGCCGGCTGTTGGTAGAATCTTCCAAGCGACTGATTCTTTTCTCGACAGTTTTCAGGGCGTCTTGTAGTTCATTTTTCTTAACAAATTCATCCAAGCCTCTAATCTGATCTTTAAGTTGCTCAAAGTTCGCTCCGACTTCATCTTTCCAACAGCTCATATCACTTCCCAAACTGACCATATCCTGACCAAGTTGACGTTCTAACTGAACGAATAATTCCAATTCTTTCTCTTCAATAACCGCTAGACCAGTGTTGGATAAACTATTGAGCTCGTTTATGGCGTCTTGAACATCTTTGTCACCGTTTAGTTCTGGGTCTTGAAGAAGCGAGGTTAATGATGCAAACGCGTCGACTTTGTCAGCATCAGTTACATGCAGCAACGGTGCATGCGCCCAAAGATTCCTAGCACTTCTTGCATCTGCTATTTTCGAGAGATCGACACCTTTGTTGAACATACCATTTGTCCCTCTCGGAGACCATTCCAATACATTCAAGAGTCCCGATATATCAGTAGTTTTGGCGTTGACTACATCAAGCTTTCTCGGTCCCAAGGGAGCCATGAAAATCCTAGCAATCTCCCATGAGGCACCAACGATCAACCACTGAGTGTTGTCACTGTTGCTCCAGGATATTTTTCTTTTGTCAGTTGATCGATGGGCTTTGCGCAAGTGAGATTTCCACGTAGGTTCATTATTTGGCAAAGTTGCAAGCAGTGATGTGTGGTACTTGTCAACAGCATTTTGAATTATGGTTTCTAAGCCGTTCCGGGTAATCTGGATTGCTCGACCAACAGTAACCCAGTTTCTATATTCTGGATCGCTTAGTCTACTGTGAGCCATCACTATTTATTTTTCAAGGCTGAAAAAAGGCATTAGTATATTAACCTCCTCCGCAGGCATGTAGAACAACATGTTTAAAATTTCTATAATATCATATATTTTATAACAACTCATTAAATTCTGGTCATTTTATTGCACGCTCAGTTGTGCAATAGTGCAAGTACTATTGCACGGTGTGGTTGAATTAAATTTAATCAAAATCCTATTCGTCTTGTAATTGTAGCTCATTTACCTATGATTTTGATACTGAGACCAATGGAATTAAATTCAAATACATCACTCGTGCGAAGGAAAATGACGGGAGTAAATATACAATAATTTTTCGATAAATGACCGCCATTATTAATCCTTGTTGTTACTTTTTTGTTGGATTTTAATTATTTTTGTACAAGGTAATGTATTTGTTTTGTATTTAATTCACATAAAAATTTGATAAAATTGATGTATTTTCAGCAGTCATATAAAACAAATAATGATTGTTTTCATTCCTGCGAGTAATTACTAGCAGCTAAAGCGGACTAAATCCTGGGATTTCACGTCGGCCACCATATTGAATATAAACGCGCCGGAGTCTGGGATCTAGCTTCACAAGACCTATTTTTTGGTCTTGTTATTGCATTTTTGTCGAACATTCAAAGTACTAAAACGTGTTACTAAGAAATTGTCCCAAACATTTTTATAGTTTGCCTTAATTTTTTGCTTCTCCCGAATAAAAATATAGACGGCACAATTGATTATATTTCCTACCAATTTCTTGCTTTAAATTTGCGTTGTTGGTAATATGCATAGAAATATTAGACCTATTTCTATTAGACCTGTCTATTATTTCTATGGTAATATGTCGCCAAATGTTAAGTGTTTGTACAGGTTTGATTCCTGCCTGAGGGTTTATAGTTACATTTTTCGAAACTGTTCCTGGTTACGCCTGATAATTATTGTGTGAAAATTAAACTCGATATTTCCATCTACAAATTCCTTGGACAATTAGTTCTATCAAGTGAGATGCTCAAATTTTTTAGCCGAATAATTTTCCCATTTACTGAAACATACCCAGAAGTCCTCAAGCTTGCATGTTCATGCCGATACCTTAGCTAGTAAAATAATTATCTTATGTGAAAAATACATGAACAAAATGAAATGTAGAAATCATTCATTGAATATTCTGCTGTCAACACACCCAGGGAAATTTTGTGAACATGCATTGAAGTAAATATATGTATAGGGACTAAAAGTAAATATATAGAGAGAGACTATAAATTTTGTGGAATTGAAAGAACAGAAGAATTCTTTACCATTAATTATTTTTAACAATTTTACTTATTTTATTCTAGAAAGTGATGATATGATAATAACCATAGTGTTACTAGTATTAAATTAAATTTTTTTTTTATTGTAACTCGTAGAGTATTTATATGTATATTGTAGTGTAACTACAATTAAAACTCGTTCGTTCAGTTTTATGTTACTGCAAAAGAGTTTAATAAACCATATTGATCTTATCTGTCGACATGAAGAAATTGTTTTTTCTCTTTTCTTTTGAAACCTTCATTCTCGTGCCCAAAACCTTCTTACGCGCGTCGCGACGAGGGCGTTAGAAGAGCTATGGATACGAGAATGTTGAAACCTCGTGAAAAATCTAGTCCCCAGACTCCGACCATTGACTCCGACGCACTTAAATTCAATATGGCGGCAGGGTCCAACTTTCGATTTAGGCTGTTTAGTCGCACGTTATTAAACCGATATTAAGAATAAAGAGACGTTGAGTGTAGAGATATGCCTGCTCAGGAGGCTACCTTTATTTTAGTTACTGTGAAATCTTTCTCTGTAGTCCTGCATTACGCAGAGAAGGCCTTGAAGAAAGGACTAGCCTTTGTACATATAAACGTAATATAAAAGTATATATTGAATAACAAATTTTCAAATTGGCTGCAGCAGGAAACCTTACGTTGTAAAGCAAATTTCCTGAAATTAACCCACTTATAATCTTTAAATCAAGAATAAATATATATATTGTCACATTACGACGAGGATGCCGAGAAAGTATAAAGTCTCCACTTCAATTTTAGTAATTCAACATTTTTCAATCACGAAGACAGTCGCAATGTTTGTGTTCAAATTACGTACTGAAAAATACAGCTCACAATTACTATTACTATATAAGCCTACCTTCCGAGGATTCTGTAAACATTTCATGGCAATCTTAGTGTATTTGTGGTTGAAACACTTCGTTAAAGTTCGCTTTTAATAAGCGATCGCCTCTCCTATAAAGGCGACGAAATTCGTCGCGAGACATTGTGTATTCGGATGTGGTTGCACATGAATAATTCTATTGAATATATTAATGTATGCAAGATTTGAAATGGTAGCGATTTCGAAATGTATCAGTTAAATTGCTACTATAGACGCTAGCCCCAATTATGATTTTGGGAATGGTGTACTGTTTGGGTTATTCTAAATATCTGAGAAATGTAACATATCTTTCAGTGGTACATATAATTAGCATTTGCTCCCCCTTTTGGAGGTGGTAAAAAGTCAGGGGGTTGAGGAAAGAAATTGACCCTTTCGGCACAGAATAAAGATCAGTACCAGAAGGGCCACTCAGCGGTGCAACGTGTCCCCATTTTTCTATGCAAAACATGCAATTGACTGGCTAGGAAGATGGCGGCCAGCCAATACAGCGCGTTCATTGGCCAGAAAATGTAATCGACTGGCTAGGAAGATGGCGGCCAGGGTGCCCTTCTGTGTGCCTTATTCTGTGCTTTCGGGATAGGAAGAAATTCGCAAAAATAAGATTCTCAAAACTTTGAAATTTTTAATTTCTGTTTTTCTCTTTAAGAATTTTCCTCAAAAAATGCAACAACTAAACACTTTAAAACCTGACAGACTTTATTGTCAGGTTTTTCGTCAGACCGTTTTTCGTCAGACCGTTTTTCGTTTATCCAGGAAGGAAAGAAAGTGGCTTTTCCAAACTTGGGGATGGGGAAAAAGTAACTTTAGTGGTAACTATAAACATATCTGATTATCTTTCTAGTATTAAAAGCATATCTTGGTCAACTTTTGCAATACCAAAGTTTCCGGATATGATGAAATTCATTAGCCGGTGAGTTTTAACAGAAAAAAGCAAAGGAAAACCGGTTAATATCTCAATTAACCATACTCCTTACCAGCAAATATTATATCTTCAAACATTTGCTGGAATACCATACTTACCAATTTGGAAGGTTAGGGTGCAAGCTGTGAACCGAGGTGGCCTGGGAACGAGCTGTGGTTCCGGGAGACCTGGGAACGAGCGGTGGTACTTGGATTACGGAAAGATCCACTGCAAGTGCATGGTATCTTGAACTGGCAACCACACTCGTTCAGCTTGCACTTATCACATCAATAAAAGTGGTGGTAAAGAACACAATTTTACTTGATGAACGGGGTGGGTGGTGGGGATTTTACGTTAAGTTGTAGAGCAAGAGCACCGTCCACTTTGCGTGCTTCGCAGAATATTAGAGACGTTCAGATTTGACTTCCGATCCACTGGTTCAACACATACTGTTGCGAAGGCCAAATAGCGTTATCCAGTGGATAGCGATTTTTTCAAGCTTTCTAAAATTTTCCGTCGATTTGGTAGAACTCAGATTGAACTCTATTTTTATTCATTGTGAGGTCCACATCTGTAGTTTTACAGCTTTTCACGAATTTTTACAAGGCTTGAAAAATCACTGTCCGTGGTGTGTCATTCAAATGAGTATAAATCATGAGTTTCGTGCATGCAACTAACTTTGAATTTACTTTTGCATAATTTTTCATGAATATTTTTAACTGATAACTAACAGTAAAGTTTCTTGTGCAATTTGGAAAAACAAACACTCGTGTATTTTTCGAAGACTTCAAGTTGCTCTCGAAACCATACTATTACCTACACATAAGTAAAATTACTTATATGTTTGCTATTTACATGCAACAACTGTCTTGATTACGACGATAAGTACGGTATAGCATGGATGGTATAGAAAGTCTTTTAAATTTAATGATTAATCTACGTAATTGAAAGTTCATACGTGCGTTGGTCGCTAAGGTTAGTTTTTGGGTTCCAAGTAATCGAGAAAGTTTAAGATTTTTATCAAATGTAAGTTTTCCAAAGACAAAGAGTTTCTCGTACGAGTCCTGCTTTCTTTTGAATAAGGGACTAGTCCAGATTGAAGCTGGCTTTAATTTTCTTCGGAGCACGATCTCTATCTTTTCTTTGAGCATGTCCCTGTCAATGATGCTTCGTCGGTTTTTAACCAAGATTTGCGTCGCGCACGGTTAGCCATATCAATGGCGGAAAGCCCCGACGAATCTTTTAGATAAATGTCTGCATTATCCTGAATAAGGGTTTGAACAACACGTTGTCTTTGAGCAAGGCTTTCTTCTAAAAAAGGGTCATTGTCATATTTGGATTCAAATGCATAGTGAAGCGCAGTACGCCCATAAAAATCCTGTTGATTCACTTCAGCTCCGTGCTCCAAGAGTAACGAGACCATCTGTTCCAGCGCAGGTGGATACGCAAAAAGATCATTTAGCTTCTCACACACTAGCATTAGCGCAGTTACCCCAGGACCTCCTCTGTTGTTTGGGTTTGCTCCATGTTTTAAACAGTCGTCTGCCATTTTTACTTTCCGTTCATAGCTGGAAAGCCGAAGCTTTGATAAAAGGAAGTGCCAGGCATACTTGAACTCCACATAAATCTTCCCATCTCTCAGAAGGCGTTCAATTTCTGAATAAATAAGAATAAATCATAATTATATAGTTCTATATATACTGTACCTCGCACAGAATATACATTAACACTATCAGAGAGGTGTCTGTATGAGAGGACTATCCGCTTTAGGGAGGTGTCTCTATTTGGGAGGTATTCATATTAGAGAGGTATCCATATTAGGAAGGTAGGCTACGTCCGTTTTCAAATTCCTTCGTTTTTGACATTAGGAAAGGTGTCCGCATTATTAGAAAGGCGTTGATATTAAAGAGGTGGCCGTTTAGAAAGGCGTACGCAGTAGAAGTGTCTGCATGGTTAAGTTCTTCCTGTTACCATCCCCCCGGAGATTTTTATTCCTAAAACTGTCAATTCCCCAACCCCTGGGCAATATTGCACACGAATACGTTGTCAAAATTTCACAAATGTCGACCTTTGAAAGGCATTGACTAAGCGATAGAACGTGTTCACTACGGCTATTAAAGGCGATGTTATAGTGTTAAACGAAGCAGTTTTTCTTCCAACTTGCAACGCAATCTCTGATCTACAGGAATGTTTAAATATGTAAGAAAAAAAACAATTGGAGGGCAAGTGGGCCTATGTTTCGCATTTTTCTTCGAGTATTCCGACGCCATCTTTTAATATATATGGCCCAAAGCACCTTACCTCGCCTGTGAATATTTATATTCCTCACCCCTTGCCCACAACATTTCAGTCGCTAATATAATTCAGTCGCGGGGGGAGTCCAAAAATTTTCCGGACATACTATTTTGCACAAATTTCTCATTAATGGATCGTAATTTGTTAACTTTTTCCGTAATTTTCTTAAATTTAGCAAAATATTTGCTGTACTATTACTTTTTATTCCGAGCCACTCAAATATTTTCGCTGACTACGAAAACAATTTGCCGAGTCAAGCAGACATTTCCCGAGTCCGGCTTTTGTGTTTATTGGATAGCGTTAGAGCGCTACACCGAAATCGCAGCCACAAGACCTATACTATAGTTTCATTTTTCGCAGCTGCTCCCGGTTAGATTGAAGAAAAAGTGTATAGAAAGATTGAGCGCGAGGATATTTAAACGTGTGATTGTCTTTGTGGTCATAGATCGCCTTTGTGGTTAATGCCCCATAAGAAAAAGCTCCTTATATTAAAAGAAACTGTTTTTCATCATGTTCTGATTTCGTTCATGAGCAATAGTTTTACGAAGGAACTGTTTCCAATGACAATTTGTGTCAAATACATCTGGGTACTGGAGCTTAATTCAATTGACTGAAGATTTATCGAATATCGTGTGCTCCTTGTTCATTGTTGATAAAAAATTGAGCTAGACATTACCCCAGGAAAATTGTAGGACAAGTTTAGAATCTTTAAAATTCTTGATGAAAGAATCTTCGCAATTTCATATTTAGATGAACCGCGTAATACCGCCCCCTCTAAATTAGTACAATAACTGTGTATAACATGAAGTTTCCTCAGTGGTAATTTTAATAGAAAATGTTGATTTTTTGATGGTAAAATATAAAGATATTGCAGGTTTTCGTGAAGTAAATTCGTACCAGGCATATAAGAATCAGTTTATAGATTGATGTAATTTTATAGTAGGGCGAGAAGGGAGGCGACAAAACTCGTTTTCTAAGGAACTTTTTTGGTCACAGAATACAGCCTATACGATGAGGTGTATTGCTTTCATATATAACAAGCTAGCTTATTTCAAAAGCTATTTTTAAGAATATGCTTAAAATTAATCAACTTTATATCAAAGAATAATTTTTCACCATGCACACCTGCACAGCTGCAGATTTACAAGAATATTTGTAATCTATACCTGAAAGAGGTTTCTGAATTATCTCGAATGTAAATTCCGACACTTTAGCTTCTTCTGGATAAAATGGCTTCTCTTTAAGGGACTCCAAAGTGATAACATTCTTTTCTCCTGACTTAAATTTTCTAAAATACTCTTGGACATCTTCGTTCCAGCAGATGGACGAGTCAAAGCCCTTGGTGTTCTCAAAGAATTGAGGAACACATACATCTGCCGTCACTCCTTCGTTTACACAAAATTCAAATATCTTATCGCAAGAGAATCTATATGCAAAAGCGAGAAACGAAGAGAATAACTGGGGCATTGATTCCTTCGGGACGAGCTGTAGTAGTTCGATGTCACAGTTCAAGAAAAGCATGGCGTCATCACTAAAAATCCAGTATGTGCTATCAAATAATTTGGCAGTAATTCTTGCGTAACGGAACCAAAGGG